TTCCTCTGCAGGTACATAAATTTCTGTTATGGAAATAAAAAGTAGTGCATGTAGATGTAAATAATCAAGATTCTTTTTCTATCACAACTATGCAGTTGATTACTTATATGTCATGCACAATCATGAAAGATTATTGAATGCCATGTCAAGGATCAATTATCAGCCCTGCCCACCTTCCCATATTTATAAGAGACAAAATACAGACAAGGGGTAGCTGTACTTCTTGTTCAAGAAAATATGGTTCTACATTAGATAATTTATAAATACAACTAAAAATCGGTTGGTCGAAAAAATACAACTAAAAATCTGTCCATTTAAGTGCTTCACTCAGTTATAGCATCTTTACTGATATAAACCATGTAGCTGCTATATGCAGACAGTAATTTAGAACTTGTAAGTCACCCGGTAACAAAGACTAGAAATTCTGGAGGCTTTGATGATCAAGCTATCACCATTTTAACTCATTGGTATACACGCTGATATCTTTTTTGAAAATAACAGGAGGGGGTTTCCCCTTACTTGTTAAATATTAAAATAAGTAGAAAGAAGAGTGTGTGGAAAAGAGAAAGAAACACTGATATCTTGTGAACACTAACTGATATGTCACATGTTCTTTGCATCAAATTTCATCGGCAATCATACAAAATGGAATCGTACAAGTAATCCCCTCTGCCTCTGAGAATAGACAATTTGGGGAGTGATGGTACATTTGCAAACATGGAAGTAAATTAACTATAGAGCATGCAGTATGTACTTACTGGGCATCATCTTTTGAATGGAAGGCCTCAGAACTATAATTCATTGTAGGAATTGCAGCAACGGCAAAAGGATCCAACCCACAGCGGGAGCGTTCAATCTATTGAACAAAGCAAAAGGAACCATGTCATCTTTTAACACAAAGTCTTGTCTGGATTGCTGTAAGTAAACTGACACCAATGATCACCTAGCATAAACATAATGCTTGCGACACATACCATTTAGTAACCAACGATCAAATAGCAGAAACATAATGCTTGCGAGTAGCGACACATACAATAACAACAACAAAGCCTTTTAGTCCCAAGCAAGTTGAGGTAGGTTAGAGTTGAAACCCAACATGAGCCCCTAGTCACGGTTCAGACACGTCAATAGCCGCTTTCCAAGCACTCCTATCCAAACAAAGATCTCTAGGTATATCCCAACCTTTCAAATCTCTTTTTATTGTCTCCCCCCATGTCAGCTTCGGTCTTCCTCTACCTCTCATCACATTGATATCTCGACTTAGGACTCCACAATGCACTGGTGCCTTTGAAGATCTCCTTTGGACATAGCCAAACCACCTCAACCGATGTTGGACAAGCTTTTCTTCAATTGGCCCATCCTTGTGTGACCACAAATCCAGCGCAACATACGCATTTCCGCAACATTAGTTGCTGGAGTTGCGACACATACCATCTAGTAATTTAATCCCTGAATTGTTTAGTCATCTCAAGCATCTCTTTGAAAACAATGAAACAAGCAAAGTAAAATCGACTTAATCTGAATGTGCAGGAGCATGTTAGAGTGACTTCCTAGAGGTTCAAACTTTCAGATACCCAAGCTAAGCATTGATCGAAGTACATTCCTTGGTCATAGATAAATTTGCATAAAGATTTTGTTTATCGGTATTCTCGCAGATAAAGAAAGGAGCTTACATAATGTGCATATCATGCCCTTTAGCTATGCACATCCATACGAATGCATGGGATTTTTTTTAGAAGAGGGGACTTTTATTCTGGCTTCTGCACGAGTTATTCACTCAACCACTAATGCATGGGATATGAAAGAAAGCATAGAACATTGAGAAATAGTCAAATGGAAAACCTAATGTGCATGCTTAGTTAGTTATTTTTTTCAAAAGAAAAAACCCTTGCATCTGTCCACTTTCAATTACAAATGGAAGGTAGCACAATCGTAAACAGACTGATAGGACAAAATTCTGGCAGAATATGGACCTAAGTCCTAACTTATCACTAAAAAGACTTAAGATAATTTTGTATACATCATATTCACAGTTGAGAGAGATGATGCACATACATACCAGCCTATCAATTGAAACGACAGAATAATAATATGCTTGATAGTATTGTCCATGGTTCAGACAAATCAGAAGATAGGATAGAACCATATATGATGCCTAAATTTTGAGGGTGAAAATACTGCCAGATATTCAAATGTACAGTGTACCTAATCAAATCATCTTTGATAACCACACTGCCAGTCCAAAGGCCTTAACTTACAGGGCTAAAAATACCATTTTTCAATCTGACAATCTTATCACCTCCTGTGAATGTTCTCGATACGGACATCACGAATATAATAGTAAGTAACATGGTATTACCATGACTAATCAAATCGACATGGCCCATCTCAGGCTGAAATATTAGGTAAGATGGACTGTTTTCATATTCTGGAGATAGAGATGAATTAGACACCTGTGGTTATGTTTTTCATGTCAATGTAGAGACTAAAAGAGCTGACGCAATATGGGACATAACTAATAACTGAAGGGAACGCATAGGAACAACTAAAGATGGCACAGTAGCTAGAAGGAACTCTGCGCAGAAAATGAAATCAGCATCTCATTGAAGAGATAGTATATCCAGTTATTAGTGAGAAGGCAGTTTGGTAAGTTCCTAATGCATCTGTGCCATGATATTTCCCTTCAACATCTTCTATAGTTCTATCCGCTGGTGGTGGTTGTTAAGTGCTTAGGATCATCTAGGTGTAGATTAGTGGGTGGATTCATCTCTATTTGGTTCAAATCGATCTAGAAACATGACTCGGGAGAGGGAGATGGCGTAGAGAGAGAGATCCATACCTTCGGGGTTGCGTCGAACCCCGTCCCTCGTGCCCTGGCCCCCACCTCTCTCTTTATATAGCGCTGTGTGACAGGGGCCCGCCGACCAGTGGTCGGTTAAGCGTCCCGATCAGGACGCGGTCAAGGGGTCCGATTGGCCGTTGGGCCAATTGGTGGAGATCAAACTAACATTCTCCCCCTTGATCTCACCTTATGATTTAAACTTAACTTACTTTATCTTTTTCCCATTCCATCACAGATCAGTACATAGAGCGTGCCTCATCGTCACGGTCAGTTGCGATTAGATTTAACAGCTACAATGCACCTCTCTGTTTTGAAACAGATACTCAACTAGGCCCTTAGTATCTAGAAATCATAGTCTTTCCTATAAACCCATGTCGATTGTGTGTTCTCTGAACGCACTGGGTGGTTAGCCTTTGGTAAGCGGATCCGCAAGTACTTACTCGGTACTTATGTGCTCAATACTTTCAGAATGATTCTGGATTTTCTCCTTTACAACATATAACTTAGTGTCAATGTGTCTGGCAGCACACTTGACCTGTTGTCTTAGGAGTTAACTTACTTTAAATGGTTATTGTTATTGTCTACCATTGTTAAATCCGGGTACAAATTCCCTTAACCTCCTTTTGCCTGTTCCTTAAGCCTCATGTCAAGCTATACTATGGTATGCATCACCGATGACACCACAACTATTTTTTTTTTTTGAGCTTTTCCACAATAATACTCCAACTGCGAGTGTTAGCAACTGCTGTGGATTTCACTACACATCTCGCCAAGACTTAACATTTGTACCCTCAACTATTTGAGAGTACTTGTTCTTTCTTACTCAGCATGAGGCCTATGATACTTTGCAAAATTGCAAGACATTTTCAACTCCATTCCAGTGATCTATATCTGGACTGGACTTCTGCCAAAATATCCCGGATACGTAAACTACGTCAAGGCAAGTTCTTACTTGTACTTGTACACTCATCAAGCTTCCAACAGCTAAAGCATATGGAACCATGTTCATTTGATTGATCTCATATCGGTTCCTGTAACACTTAAAGTTCCCAAATCTATTACCTTTGACAATAGGAGCAGGCGTAGGTTTACTCGCATGCATATTTTATTTCTTTAAAATCTTTTCTAAGTATGCCTTTGCGATAGTCCTAGTACCCCATTTTCTTCTATCTCGATGAATTTCGATTCCTTGAACCAATGACGCTTCAGCAAGATCATTCACATAGAAACTTGAGGACAAAACTTCTTCTCCAATGACAAATTAACATCACTACTAGTGAGTAGAATGTCATATATTCACAGGATGTGGAAAATGAAATTTTCATTCTTGAACTTCGCATAAACGATATTGTCCTTCTCATTTTCTAATTGCTGCTACCCCTTCTAATTGCTGCTACCCCTATCAAATCTACGCCTAGAACGTTATTGTCCTTCTCATTTGTTAAGTGCTTAGGATCATCTAAGTGTAGATTAGTGGGTGGATTCATCTCTATTTGGTTCAAATCGATCTAGAAACATGACTCGGAAGAGGGAGATATAGTAGAGATCCATACCTTCGGGGTTGACAGAGGAGGTAGAGGAGGAAGAACGGAGTGCGGTCCGGTAATGTCCAGAGGACGGCGGCGAGCCCGGCGGAGCTTCCCGTCACTTGCAGCGCGCCCGCGATCGGAGGGGCTTCTAGGGTTCTTCGGTAGGGTCCAGTGGCGGCGTCAAACCTCGTTCCTCGTGCCCTGGCCCCCACCTCTCTCTTTATATAGCGCTGTGTAACAGGGGCCCGCCGACCAGTGGTCGGTTAAGCATCCCCGATCAGGACGCGGTCAAGGGGTCCGATTGGCCGTTGAGCCAATTGGTGGAGATCAAACTAACACCTACTCCACTATGCCAAGCAATTTCAGGTATCAAACACTTATTTGCCCCATTCTAATTTTATTTTTTAATCTGTGCTCTACACATTGACATTTGTGCATGATTCACTTTGCAAAATCTATAGGGTCCGTACCCTCTTCCAAATTAATATACAATCATTGAGTACCTTTTTCTATAAATTTGTCATCATGGATCATAAACGTATAAACTAACTTATCCTAGTATCTTAAAAGTTAAATCTTACTCTGTTTTTTTTTTAAAAAGGGGTCCTGTTGATTTATCATTCACCTTATCAAAAGTTCAGCCTCTACAAAGGATGTTAGATCAAAATGATATTCACATTTTTACCACTGCTCTTGAACCATACTTGCAAGCACACACTTTAGGTAACGTAATTAACGATTCGTTTAAATAACTCAGTACAGTACAAAGGATATCATCCTGCCATAGGCCTTTTTATATCCATACTTGCAAGCTTCTCAATGCTCACTTCAGATGGAAAACTACATATTTTTTCTCTGGATATAGTTCAAATGTAGCTCTATTCGTGCCACTCCACTCAGCCGTGCTCAAACATGTTTCACTTCCATTTTTCTCATTAAACCAATGCTTCCTATTATCCTTAATTTCATGAATTAAATGTCCTAAATGGCATGAGATTCCACTATACCTTTTTGAAGTATACAGAGTACTATATGTATTTCTACTACAAGGAATGCAGCTACCAGTTGCACATCTGTGTACCATGCCAGTGTGCTACACTGTGACAATGGTTGTAGTGTCGTGCATTGGCCTTCGCCACCGCCACAGCACCGCACCTGCACTGCTGCTACCTACGACGACCTAGCGGGCGCGTCACGGCTACCTCTACTACGACTCCAGTGGCCATGTCGCGGTGGCGCCGTGGCCGTGACTGCGCATGGCGAGGTACATCACAAAGTCTCCCATCTAAGCTAAGTATTACCCACTGATCTACGCCTAGAAGTACTTTTAGATCTATCAGTGGTCACCTTTGGAAGTATTTGAGGCTAATTTTGTCGAGATATTAACTTGTTGACCAAAAACAAGCCAAATTACAAGTCACATCACACAAATAATGCACATGCGAGTTTGCGACCTCGAGTTCAGTTGTAGCCCAATAAACATGACTCCTATAAAACAGCAATGTGACTGAAAATATCGAACGGTATTCCAGTGTGTAAAATAAAAGGAAGTATTCAGTGGAATATTTTCCTGAACATAATTGGCCCCGTGCATGACTTGGGATCACCGGATCACTACACAACTCAAGGGTCGCTTCCGTGCTTCACAAACGTAATGATGATAAACACACGCTAGCAGAATAGCAGAGTAGCAAGTAGTGGGCGCTCACCGTGCGGTCGAGATCCGCGACGTTGCGGAACTCGACGTCGAAGTCGAACGGCACGGGTGGCTGCGCCAGCGACCGCGCCGCGGCGACCGCGGCGGCGTCGGCGGAGTCGGCGTCGGCCCGCGCGGCGCGGCCACAGATGAGGCGCGCGCAGACGAAGACGATGAAGGTGGCGCTCATCCCGAAGCCGATCACCGTGGTCACCAGATTCAGCCCGGACCCCTGCATCTCCACCGTCCTACCCTTCCCTCGCCGCGCCGCCACGGCCGCACGGGCACTACCCGAAAAACGCACACGCGAAACAACAACCCGCGGCAGCACGCGACGGATTAAGCAACAACGAGCAGCTGCTGCGGTTGCCGGGGCGGCGTATAAGAGCGGCGCGGCGGGCGGCTGCTGGGGTCGGGCAGCAGGGGGCTGGTGGCCATCGGCGCGGGGTTTGGGATTTGTCCTGGGATTTGCGTGGGCCGCTGGCAAGGAATGATGCGCCGCGGCGCGGGCGGCGGGAGTTGGCGGATTCCGGGAGATGGTGAGCGAGGTCCTGGGAGAAACAAGTATCTCCCTCGTCTCGTCTCCTCCTGTGCGTGACTTGCGAGGGTGGGGGTGCCTGCCTTGCGCCTGCGCGATGCTACTCGCCTCAGGCTCAGGCCCTCAGCTAAGCTCAGCAGGCTTGCCTGCGACGACGCCGGATCTGCGGCAGTGATGCTGCTGCTGCTGTTTTTCTGGCGACTGGGCCTGGCCGGCCCTGGGAACTTCGCTTCGACCGCGTATGACGCGCGGGACCGGTGTCACAGCGGGGTCAGCTGTCATGGACGGAACGGCTTGTGCTGGGTGCCGCGGCCGGAGCCGGTCTCGACAGGTAGACGAGGCACGCGGGGCCCGCCGCGACGGTGTGGGGCAGGGCGAGCCGTGAACATGAGGTGCGCGCCGGGGAATCGTCCAAGATTTGGCAGTCGCCACTGCCACGCGAGCGGGACAGGGTAGCGGCGTTTGCGTGCACGGGCTTTTCAGAACGAAACGACGGGTCGCCACATACCAAGCTGGTAGTACCGTGAACTGTTACCCCCAACTGTGTTCGTGAACAACCGCGGATCTGTTATTAGGTAGAAAGCCTCTTCGTTTTGTCGTAAATGATCGTGAATTATTTACTGCTGATTGGTTTGGTGTGAGAAAAATACTGTTCCAGTTTATAATCCACGATCGTATACGAATAAGTGAACAGCCCAAGAGTCTGTTTGGTACAGTTCGCGCTGGTATGACGAACAAATCTACTTTTTTTCTTAAAAAACTTACCTAAAACAGTAAAACGTCGTGTTCAAAGCTGTCGGTGTGCTGTGTACAGTGTACTCGATGAGCTCCTATTATGGCCCAATATGGGGTTCCAGGATTTAGACCGGATGATTTTCTCTTTTCAAATCCTATTTGAGTGTATTGTATTGTTACGGTCCATTTGACTATGGGAATCTAGGGAGTGTTCGGCTGGCTGATTGAATAAGTCAAAATACTGTTCCGGCTAGGTTATTATGAGAGAAAAATATTATCCTATCTTAAAGACACTGTTTATATTTATATAAACGATTGCTGCTTGCGAGAAATGGCACAAGACCTACCAAAGTGACAGACTGACCAAATTAACAACACGCCTTAATGCTTTTGCTCTTGCTACATAGACTAACGATAACTTACCTCTCTTTTTATAATTTTGTGATTTTATCCTCATAATTTTAAATACAACTATTGTTGGTGAGTTTGTCCCTATTCTGGATAGAGATTAGTCGTGAGATTAGTTTTTTTTAACAAAAGTTGTGAGATTAGTTGTCCGTCTCGGTCAGCCGCACAGGAGCGCGGGCCGTTGTGGATGCTGCTGGGCTTGGCCCACGCTGGAAGGAGAGGGAGGCGCGGTGGAAAACTAGGCCGGGAGAGAGGGAAGGGTCGCGGGCTGGCCTGCTGGGCTTCAGCCAGATTCGGCCCAGCGTGGAGGAGGTGAGCAGGCCGAATTTGAATGGGAATTTAAAGGAAAAAGGAAAGGAAAGTTGGGCTGGGATTTTGAAAGGATTTGGCCCACACAGGTTTCGAAACTTTTGAAAAAAAAAAGAGAAAAGCTTAATTGAGGCTTAAACAAGTTTTATAAAATCATTTTTCATTCAATAAAATTAAATGCAAAGGCATGAATGCAACACCCTATCAAATTAATTTATAAAAGTTTGAGAAAATCACATTTTTCACTTATAAAAATTATCAACAACCTATCCATATCTTGGAAAATTTTTAGAAAAATATAAAATCATTTATTTTATTTAGGGTTTTCTAAATTTTGGGGTATGACACGTGGCCGACGGACGTGTAGGACAAGGCAACGCATTTTGGACGAGGGACCTAAATTCTTGTTGCTAACTCCTTTCGCTAAAGACGACACTACTATGCAAAGGTCTCTACTATTAGAGGGCGCATCCATCCATAGGCTCCCCCGACCGTCCATTTTGGCTCATCAAGATGACTTCACAGGGTAACTTCACAAGGACACCCCCGAAAACAAACCAACACCACCTGCAAAGGAAGAATTTTGCTTGGACTTTGGAAGCCAAGGAAGTGTCTGAGGAAAATCATCTTTCGACTTACCAGCGAAGTGGCCCTCGAGGGTGCCGAACCGAAGAAGGCAGGGAAGACATATACCCTCAAAGGTGTAAGTGCATCTAGTCCTTTGGTGGGTTTTGTTGGACGGAATGACAACACGATTAAAAGCCTAACAAATTTGCTAAGTGTTGAATAGGGATTTAATTAGATTGCATATACTTGGAGATATGATTTATTGTATTATTTGAAGTGTATCAAAGATTCAATGATAAGGCAAACTTTATAGTATTCCATACTGTGTTGAAATGAAGACAAAATGATGTATTGTTGTGGAAACAATCTAGTTCAAGCAGAAGACAACAATGCAAATGAAATTGATAAAATGTTTTATATGTTATGGAATATCATTGCATCATGTGAAGACAAGCATAATTATGAAGTGTAAATGAGACATGAGGCTATGCATATAGAATGGTCTTACTTGGAGAGCTTGTTTGGGAAAACAATGAAGATGAAGACGGATTTCATGAAAAGGATGTTAATATATGCTTATTATTGGTTCAAATCACCATGTGTCTTGGGATGGCTTGAGAGGGTGAAGATAAGGGCTTCAAAGGATCAAGCAAGGGTGAAGGGCAAGCGACAGCTTAGGCGTCGATGGACCATGACTGTGGTGAACAAGAGAGTACTTGCATTGAGTCTTGGCTCTAATCAAGTTATGGGAAGTCACATTATGAGGGGGATCAAATCATTATTGGATTTTATGGAAGAAGTGGCTTGATGCCATAAAGTGGTTGGAAATGGTTCAAGTCACATGCTCAAAGGATTGACACAAAGTTGGTTGCATCTCTTGGTGAATGAATATGTGAATAATGGCATATGAATACTACTGCAATCTCAAGAGGTTGACATAAATTTTATTATCACTATATGACCTCCACCCAAAAAAAAACATTCCTAAAATGCTCGGATCTACCATAGACTAGTACATAAGACGTTTTATGCAAATTCATTTACATCGATGGTAACTTTACGTCAACCTCCTATACAAATGCATTTTCACAAGTGGTAATTTTATATCAACCGCTAGTGCTAGCTTTTGCCTAGAAAAAAGCAACTACATAAACAATTTAGGCTGCATTAAGGCTAATGAAGTAGTTTAGAAGTAAATTGACTCTCCTAACACAACCAAGGCACTTACTACTTTTCAGCACACCATAGGTCGAAGACGAGCGTGGAGAGGACAATGAAGGCGGGGGCTTTCAGACATCTTCACATAGAAAAAGGACAAGCTTTTGAGGTCGTTGGCGGTAACTACGGTGATGGTTGGGACCGCAAAGAACGTGGTAGGGAGCTTCAAACAAAGTAGTGATGCCACGTCGTCTTGGAGCTCAGGGCTGCACCCCCACTCATGCCCTGTGCTAGCCGTGCCATAAGGCCCGCGCCGGGGCTATGCTGATTGTGCGTTGCCGTGGATGCGTGTCTGGCCATTGCCTCCATGTTCTGTGTCCCGCGTCACTAGGACTAGCGCCTCCATGCACTGAGGCCTACGCTACAAGGGTTGGGGCGCCTTCGTGTTATGAGAAGATAGAACAAGAGAGGAATTGAATGAGACAAAAGATAGTTGTCGTGGGAGAGAGATAAGGGCGTTTCTGGTATGGCTCCTCCCCCGCTCCGGCTCTAGCTCCGTCTCCTTCAGAGGAGCCCTACCAAACGTTTTTGTAGGAGGAGCTATTTTTTATGAAAAATAGAGGAGCCAAAACCATTTTGTAGGAGCCACGACCAGAGGAACCCTACCAAACACGTCCTAAGACTGATGAGTATGGTACAGAAAGAGCTAAGGATGGACATGCGTGAGTCATGTGTCTGGAAGAGTGATAAGATGGATGAGTATTTGTGTTCCTTGTGGTGGAACCTGGCCACCCGAGTTCAAGTTCTTGACTTAGCACGAGTGTTCGCATTTTCCTAGATTTATTCTAGGATTTATCGGCACTATGCTTTAAGTGATAGGCGACGTCCCCGTCGACAGCGAGGCACCTGTGGTGACTTTGTGAATCTCGAGATTTGTCGGCTCAGTCTTTTGCAGGTGCTCATAAGGGTATGGTTTGCGTATGTGTGTTCATAGGAATGAGTGTGCGTGTGTGTTGTGGGGCGTCTACGTTGTACTGTGTAATTCTTAAAAAAAGATGGATGAGTATTGCATTTATTGTCGTGCAGCCTTTTTTTGACCGCACAGAACGTTTCTTATGAGTAAAACACTCAAAAAAAAGTTATAGAACCTTTTGCTAGCGGTAGAATAAGATATCCATGTTTTAAAACTTATTTTTCAAACGGAGATGCTTAAGTCGTTCGTCACTAGAAATAAAGATATTTTTATAGATGGATGTTTTAAGTAACCGCATCTAGAAATCAACATTTTTTATTGATGGTGGTTTAAGATAATTACCAATATAAGGGTTTCTAACTGAGGAGTGGAGACAGAAGCTTGTGTGTCACGCGGCGACGGCCGCCGGCGTTCACCCTCCATAGCTCCTCTCGCCAGCCACCACCGCGGTAGCCCGACAGCCAGCACCTCCCCCACTCCGGCCCCCTCCATAGCTCGACTCAACTCATCCCCTCGCTGCGCCACCGGCTCGCCCCAACGCCCCTGTCCG